ATAGTGATGAGTATGTTCCTTTTTTTTTTTTGTCAGTTGTGGGGCTTGAACTCTGGGCCTGGGCTCTGTCCCTCCGCTCTTCAGCTCAAGGCTAGTGCTCTACCACTTTATGTTCCATTCTTGTAACCCTATGACATACCAAAAAAATGTCTGTCTTGTAGTAGCCATGCTAGAATTAATATGACTTCTTCTTTAGCTTTTAAGATTAATTTCAACCGGGCACTGGTGGCTCACGCCTGTAATCCTAGCTACTCAGGAGTCTGAGATCTGAGGATCGTGCTTCAAAGCCAGCCCGGGCAGGAAAGACCATGAGACTCTTGTCTCCAATATACCATCAGAAAACTGGAAGTGGTGCTATAGCTTAAGTGGTAGAGCGCTCGCCTTGAGCTGAAGAGCTGAGGGACAGCGCCCAAGCCCAGAGTTCAAGCCCCATGACTGTCAAAAAAAAAAAGATTGATTTCATTTACTTGATTCCTGTGAATATCCCATATTTTTCTTTGAGGAATGGTGCTTTTTCCAGGAGATAAGTATTCATCTTCAGTTCAAATGCTCATGAGTTTAATAAAAAGATTCTTCTTGATCTTTTCTTACTGTGTAATGTTCTTGTTGAATCTCCTGACTGTTTTTTGTTTTGTTTTGTTTTGTTGTTGGTTTTGGGTCTTGAACTCTGGGCCTGGGTGCTGTAGCATTCTACCACTTGAGCCACAGCACCACTTCAGTTTTCTGGTGGTTTATTGGAGATAAGAGTCTCATGGACTTGACTGCCAGGGCTGGCTTTGAACCGCAGTCCTCAGATCTCAGCCTCCTGAGTAGCTAGGATCTCAGGCGTGAGCCACCAGCGCCTGTCTCTCCTGACTGTTTTTGATTCCCTTTCTTGATGCTTATTTTTCATTCTGGTTTTGTTCCTACATATCTGTGTCCCATCTAAGAAGCATGTCTCAGAAATTTATAGTATGTAAAATCTTCAAATAATTTGGTATATTGACAAGTCAGCATATGGCTTTCTCAAATTTAGTAAGTGTGTTTTCTCATTGTTTTACATCTTTTGTTGTTGTTGTTGGTCATGAGGCTTGAACTCGGCCTGGGCACTGTCCCTGAGCTCTTCAGCTCAAGGCTAGCGCTCTACCACTTACTTGAGCCACAGTGCCACTTCCAGGTTTTTTGTTTTGTTTTGCTTTGTTTTTGGTGGTTAATTGAAGATAAGAGTCTCATGGATTTTCCTGCCAGGGCTGGCTTTGAACTACAATCCTTAGGATCTCAGCCTCCTGAGTAGCTAGGATTACAGGCATGAGCCACCAGCATGCCCGCTTCATTGTTCTACATCTTATGGGTCTTAAAATGAGCCCCATTTTTTAATTTCACCAGTAGATTTTTCCCAAATGACTATGGCAGAGTTTTGTTTTTTTGTTTTTTTGGGTCCAGTCGTGGGGCCTGAACTCTGGGCCTGGGCGCTGTCCCTCAGCTCTTCAGCTCAAGGCTAGTGCTCTACCACTTGAGCCACAGTGCCACTTCTGGCTTTTTTCTTTTTGCTTATGTGGTGCTGAGGAATTGAACCCAGGGCCTCATGCATGCAAGGCAAGCGCTCTACCACTGAGCCACTTTCCCAGCCTGACTATGGCAGAGTATTCAGATTTAAACATTCTTTATTTCTAGTGGACAACTGGTTAAAGGTGGGAAATAGTAATAACAACAGGATCCTTAAGCTCATCTAATTAGTGTTTACTCCTTCCTTAGTGATATACTTGGTGGTCAATTTTTTTTTTTTTCCTTGCTGTTAAGTAGCATCCAGGCTGGCTGCAGTAAACCAGTTTCTTTGGGTTAGATAGCTGTATTACACAGTGGCCATCAGAATACTTCAGTCTAAATCATGCATCTACAACTTCCTAGAAGTCAGACTCAGGGCATTTCATGGTTTAGGAGCCTTGATTGTGAGATGCATCTATAATACCAATGTCTTTGTCTATACATGAATCATACATGGTACTAAGTATAAAGTACATAATGGAATGTGAGAATACAAAATTAACTAACTTATAGCCCTACCCTAAAAGGCCTTATCCTTTAGTAAACAGAATAGAAAAAAACAGTCTTGTTTTTAAAACTGTGGGTTGGAAACTGGGATGAATTCAGTGCTAGGGCACTTGCTTAGCTTATTGAAGATCCTGAGATAGATCACACATGCTACAAGTAAATAAATTGTAGGGCTTGAGACATATTAAAGTTCATCAATTAGTGAAATCACGGTAAAAAGCACATTAAAAAAATGGAATGAAATAGAAATCCTAGTATATCAAAAGTAGAGCCAGGACAATGTTACGGGATACATTTTGTTTATATACATACACACTTGTGATTACTAGGTGACTAAATCTAATTTCCTGTAACTAGCTCATATTAAAGCTTTTAGGCTTATAAACTTTTTTTTTTTTTGGGTCCGGTCATGGGGCCTGAACTCTGGGCCTGGGCACTGTCCCTCAGCTCTTCAGCTCAAGGCTAGCGCTCTTCCACTTGAGCCACAGCGCCACTTCCGGCTTTTTTCTTTTTGCTTATGTGGTGCTGGGGAATCAAACCCCGGGCCTCAGGCATGCAAGGCAAGCGCTCTACCACTGAGCCACCTTCCCAGCCCCAGGCTTATAAACTTTAAAATTGCATTTATACTTTTTTTGTTGTTGTTGGCTATGGGCCTTGAACTCAAAGCCTGTGCACTCTCTCTGAGCTCTTTTGCTCAAGGCTAGCACTCTACTACTTTGAGCCACAGCTCTACTTCTGGTTTTTGAATGGTTAATTGGAAATAAGAGTATCACATACTTGTCTGCTCACTCACATTGGCTTTGAACTGCATTCCTCAGATCTCAGCCTCCTTAGTAGCTAGGATTACAGCATGAGCCACCCATGCCTGGTTATACTTTCTTTTTTCTTTGTTCGTCAGTCGTAGAGCTTGAATTCTAGGTCTAGGCACTGTCCCTCAGCTCTTCATCTTAAGGCTAGTACTCTAGTTCTTGAGCCACAGCACCACTTCTGGTTTTCTAGTGATTTATTGGAGATGAGAGTCTCACGGACTTTCCTGCCCAGGCTGGCTTTGAACCATGATCCTCTGCTCTCAGCCTCCTTAGTAGCTAGGATTACAGGCATGAGCCACAGGCGCCTGGCTTTGGTATACTTTGTATTATTCAAAGGAAATGTCTGTTCCTTTAGGATTTTGGTAGGAACTCCATGCGTCATAAAAAGATCATTCCTTAGCTCTCAGTTTCATACCTTTTATGACTTGTAAAAACAAGTATATCTAAAAATAGACTATGCAGATTTGTTGTCCATATTGCTTCTTTCTATTTATTTCTCTTTGCTAATCCATCAGTTAAATGACTTATGTAAAACTTTTTTTAAGGCTGGGTGCTGGTGGCTCACGTCTGTAATCGTAGCTACTCAGGAGGCTGAGATCTAGTGCTGGTGACTCACACTCATAATCAATTCTAGCTACTCCGGAAACTGAGATCTGAGGATTATAGTTCAAAGCTTGCCAAAGCAGGAAAGCCTATGAGACATCTCCAGTTAGCCCACAAAAATCCAGAAGTGGAGCTATAACTCAAGTGATAGAGTGCTAGTCTTGAGAGAAAAAGCTAAAGGACAGCACCCATGCCCTGAGTTCAAGCCCTAGTAATGGTGCATGCACACACACACACACACACACACACACACACACACACACACAAGATCCTTTGTTGCTACAATTCCATATTATTGTACTTATTCACTACTTTTAAGTCCACTTAGAGATTCTAACTGTATTGTGAATTTTTTGTAATTGATTATATCTAAGACTAATTTTTTCCATACATGATTTTTTTGCTCCTATCTGCACAGTTCAATGTCAGTAATATGGATCCTAATCAGTAATCTCAACAATTCTGTGAATCTTATCATGAATCCATAACATAAAGACATAGTCATGGGCTGAGAAGGTGGCTCAGTGGTAGAGCGCTTGCCTTGCATGCATGAGGCCCTGGGTTCGATTCCTCAGCACCACATAAGCAGAAAAAAAAAAGACATAGTCATATATGGAGTCTGTTGTCTTGGATTTAGGTTAAATAGATTCTCATACCTATTTAGTTTATTCATTGAAGTCTACAGCTTCAACTTGAGTTGATTCCATGGTTGGATTTCTATTTCTTTGTGCTGTCTTTTCTGTTTGATTCTCTAGACCTTTAACCTTGATAGGGATTGATCTTTTATTCATATTCTTACATCATATAACTTTATCTATAATAGGCTGAAAGATGGTTTCAAAGGATATCTTTTGTCTCATCTGAGGAACCTATGAATATTACCTTTCATGGCAAAGGGAAGGTGGCAGTCTTTTTCGTATGATTTGGTTAGGGAAATTGGGATGGAGAGATTATGCTATGGACCATAAATGCAATCATATGCATCCTTAGAAGAGGGAGACAGGGAAAAGGTCATGTGAAGGCAAAGCACAGAGACTGGAGATGTCAGCTTTGAAGACTGGAATACTGTAGCTATCACCAAGGAGGACCAGTAGCCGCGAGCTTAAGAGAGAGAGATGAGCGCTCTACCACAAACTTGGCGTAAAACAACAGACATTTATTCTCTTGTTTTAAAATCCAAAATCAGCATCATCTGACTGAAATTGAGGTGTACGCAGGTCTGTGCTCCTTCTGGAGACTCTGGGAAAGCTTGTTCTTCACCCATGGCAACAGTGCAGTAGAGCTGATACCTTGATGTCACCCAAGTGATGTTAGTTTGTATCTCCAACTGGAATGGATTTCTATTGTTTTAAGCTGTCGAGTTTGTGGTAATTTGTCATAGTAGCTGGAGCAGATTTATATTATCTCTTGTTCAGTATAGATTTTTCAAATGACTTTGCCTGACTCTGGATCACAACTCATGTAGTAGTCTACTGATGTAAAGTTTGTTTCATTCAGTAGTTCATCTCAGAGACATTGTTTATTATGAATCATAATAACAGCCTTATGTTTCTTTAGGCTGCCAAACTTTTTGATGAAGAAGGAAGAAAAAAATTCTTTACACAGGATATGAATAATATTCTTCTGGAGTAAGTAATTTTTTATTAAAAAATGATGAAATTATCTCAGTACAGTAGGCCTGTGAGATGAAGATGCTGCTATTAGGTATCCGCTCTTCCCTTTTCTGCCTCGTAAAATTAACATTTGTTCTTAGTAAAATTACGTGTCTGCACATACTGGTTTTTCTGGGCCACTTATACTAATTAAAGCTCCCAATATTTAAAGCTGTCTGAGCAATTGACTTCTATGCAGTTGAACAGTAACCTGGACTTAAATGTATTTCTTCTTAGAGGAAAATGTCTTTACTAAAGCATGAACTATTTATATAAATTGGTATAATTTTCCATTTTATTATACTCAGACTTGAGGAAAATAATTCCATTGATACCTAGTAAACAAGTTATTATGTATATGTATGTACATACATACGTATACATATATACATATTTATGGCCAAATGGAAATTAGGGCTCAATGAAGAAATCCTGGTTGTTGGGTAGGATAGAAGTAATTTGAAGGTGACAGTTAAGCTAGAAGAAAGTAAATGCTGAGAAGAGAGAGAGATTATATTTTATATTTGGATTACCAGGTTTAACTGGTAGTTACGGGAATCAAGTATATAATTACTATAGGCAGAACTATACAAAAAGTGATCCTGAGGAAAAGAGCCAGTTTTATACCTCTGATGAAGATAACATGCTTACTCTGTTGGTTATAGTGTTATGTAAGTCACAGCAAAATCTAATACTATGATTCCTATCTTTTAAGCATATAATGGAGATAGTTTACTTATTAGATAAAAAGAACTGATTGGTTCATTAGTTCATTAGGTAATCAATTGTATTCTTTTATCCTATTGAACTCAAATGGACTCAGAAAACAAAAACCTGGTGTGCTAGTATGATGGCAGAGGACCTTCTCATTCTTGTTCTTCTTTATCTCAGCCAGGGATTTTCAGGTTGAATGCTTCCTATTTGTGCCACTGTCTTTTACCTAGTACCTCTTTGAAACTGCAGACTCAATAAACAGTGCAGCCATTTCTCATCAGAGCTGTCCCAGATTCCCCAGCCAGGGATCTTACAAGCCTTTCTTTTTCTTTCCACCCAAAAGTCTTAACTGTACTAAATCTGTTCTTTCTCTTGTTATTAAGTCCACCCTTATTTTTTTTTATTTTACTTTTTTTTATAAGAGGCAACAACTGCTTGTCCCCTAGGAGAGTCAAGAGACTCTCCTTGGGACAAAGGATCTTAAATAAGCAAACTGTAGGCATTCCATTAAGACTTCTTTGTTTATTTTTCCTTATCTATTGTAAAACAGATACTTTGAGGGAACCCATCTGTTTTTTATTTCACTAATGCTAACTTCTTATGTTGTGTCCCCCCATCCCCCACCTCCTCCCTTTTTAGTCACTCTTACTCTTCTGAGCCTCTTTTCCCACTGTCTAAACAAAAATGCTTCACTTTCTGGACTAAGTTGTTCTGTCCAAGGCATGAGCTGATTGTTTGGGATAGTAAGGAAATTATTGAGGCATATTGATTTTACCTCAACATTGCTTCTTTGTGCTAGCAAGGGAAAAAAAAAATCAATCTGTTGAAATAGGGAGTCTTTAAAAAAAATATTTTTGTAATTGAATTTGACCTGAGTCAACAAATATATAACATACTGACTTGATTTTATTCCCTTTTGCCCTGAAGTAATGTTGTTAATAAATGATACTCTTATGATTCTGATTCATCTCAAGAGTTCTGTTCAACAAATTGGCTTGACATTAAAATCACACTCAACACTTAACATGAGACCCGCCTGTCGTCTCTTTGTTACGCATGCTCCTTTCAGGTGCTTCAGAATGAGTACTGACTCGAATCTCAATGTGAAGGGACTCAACACTATCTGAGGAGTGACTTTTGTGGAAACCAGTGACTTTCATTTTGTTTTGTGAAAACCACTAGCTTCTATAAATAGGTCATTGAGCCTGCCTACTCTTACCAGGAATTTCTTAGAAACTGAGAATTTCTATTTCATTTTTAGCCTTCACCTTTAAAAGTGTATGTCCTGAAGCTTGAACTCAGGCCTAGGCACTATCCCTGAGCTTTTTTGCTCCACTACTTGAGCCACAGCTCCACGTCTGCCTTTTTGGTGGGTAATTCAAGAAAAGAGTCTCATGGATTTTTCTGCCTTAGCTAGCTGCAAATCACAATCTTTAGATCTCAGCCTCCTGGGTAACTATGATTATAGGCAATCGCCAGCAGTGCCCAGCTCAACTAACTTTTAATATCAAAGCAAGCTCTAGAAGTCCTCCTAATCTAAGTCTAGACTTTAATAAAGATCTAACCACGTTATCCAGCCAAATGCTTATATATAGATCTCATGAAAGTAATGATTGTTTCCTATTTGAACACTTGCATTTGACCCTCTCATACTTATAAACTTCTTTCTATTTTGTATCTTCTATTTAGCTTCTCTAATACCAAAAATTTTTGATGACTAATTCTTAGCATAATTTTGCACATTTATGTTTTCAAAATTTGAAGTTTAATAAGTAGTAGATATGTTTGATCTTGTAGGGTTTCTTTTCTTTTTCCAAAGCTTTTGAATGTGTCTTATAGTTATGGAAAGTACTTAAGTCTATTTGCACCTTTTCCTATAATATAATGTTTTGGACATAATTTGTTGCTGAAAGTGCCAGTTTGATGTTGACTTTCAAATTAACGTCTGTTTTCTTTCTGTAGTAACATCTGTAGGGTATTGTGTCTTCCATTTTGAGAGACATCTTATTTATTCATTGGTTTGACTTGCTAAAAATGTAACTGTTAAAAGCTTCTTTCTTTTTTCTTAAATATTAGGCTGAATGCAAATATCACCATTTATGTAGTCTCAAAGCCTAACTTCTAAGTAGAAATGAAAACTGGAATTACAATAAATCAAGCAAACTATTTAAATGCATGGCTAGTATAATACATGTTCAATAAGAGAAACAAAGATGGATAAACTAGTTCATACTTGGAGGAAGACTTTTTTTTTTTTTTTCAGAAAAAATCCTGTAGAAACTCAGTAAAACTGTATAACTGTCTAATGTGAAAGTTGCCATATTATCTCTAAAAAAGAGATGAGCTTTTAGTTAAAATAATGTTACCATGCATGCTCAACCCCAAAACAGACTTTGCTTCATCACCAAACAAAATGTATTTCCAGATTGTTTGTGTCATATAGATCCTCCTCTTAAGCTAAAATCTTAAAAGAATTTTCTATATCATTGTTATATTTGGTAAAGGGTTTATTTCTATGAAAAATCCTATCTGGGAAATGATAGGAACACTAATTGAGAACAGAAATTCACTGCCTTTGCTGGCTTGCTCATGTGATGTCACCTAAAAGAAATTCTCTTGTTGGTTTTCTTGGTAGCATTGAGTTACAGCTACAAGAGTTAGGCCCTGTCATTCGTAGTGGTGTCTACTCTCATCTTGAAGCGTTTGTGCCATGCAATAAAGAAACACTGGTAAAACGTCTGAAAAAGTTACATCTCAATGTCCAGGTAAGTCTAAGAATAATAGGAGCTAGCCAGACAGGAAAGTCTGTGATAGTCAACCTCTAATTAACCGGCAAAAAAGCTCGACTAGAGGTATGGCTCAAATTGTGGAGTACCAACTTAAATGGAAGTGTAAGGCCTTGAGTTCAACCTTGTACTAGTATGTAAACTTTGTTCTAGTATTCCAGAGTAGTATCTTCTTTACATATTGCTTCCTTATCATAGTGGGTATTAACCAGTAGTCTGAACAATGTAGGTTTCATTCTCATTTTAATTATTTGTTTTATAAAATGTTCCTATAATTTATAGATGGAGACATTATTAAGACTGTGAAGGAACCTGATTTATGGAACTGTCATCTCTCTGTACATCACTTTCATAATTACAATAAAATTTAAAAGATTTTTTAAAAAGAATATAATGGACACTATTAAAAAATATACTGGGAGAAGTGGCGCTGTAGCTCAAGTGGTAGAGCGCTCGCCTTGAGCTGAAGAGCTGAGGGACAGTGCCCAGGCCCAGAGTTCAAGCCCCACGACCGACCAAAAAAAAAAAAAAAAAAAAAATATATATATATATATATATATATATATATATATATATACTGGGTTAGCAGTATATTTATATATTTTCCCCTTGGAAAACTGGGAAATACGATCATCCTAATTATATATCCCAGTGTGCCTTTGGAAAATTAGAAGAATATGTCCATTTTTGGATATGCTGACACTTCAAATGTCTATCAATATGTGAAATATAGGTTTTATCTATTGAGAATCTGCTTATATAATAAATTCTGTTAAGATACTTAAAAAAACTTTTAGTATGTTTTTTCCTCAGGATGATCGCTTAAGAGAACCTCTGCAAAAACTGAAACTGGCTGTTAGCAATGTCATGCCTGAACAGCTATTTAAATACCAAGAGGACTGCCAGGCTCGTAGTCAAGCTAAGTGTGCCAAGTATGTTACCTCTTCTCTTTGGATGGGATTTGGCTTTAAGAGAACACTTGTAACTTTAAAGGGTTGGTCTAAAGTAAAGTGGTCATTTATCTTCAAGTAGAAATCCACATACACCACTGGAATGCTATAATTGAATGTTTTCTTTTTTTTTTTCTTCTTCTTCTTCTTTTTTTTTTTTTTTGGGTCCAGTTGTGGGGTCTGAACTCTGGGCCTGGGCGCTGTCCCTCAGCTCTTCAGCTCCAGGCTAGTGCTCTACCACTTGAGCCACAGCACCACTTCTGGCTTTTTTCTTTTTGCTTATGTGGTGCTGAGGAATCGAACCCAGGGCCTCAAGCATGCAAGGCAAGCGCTCTACCACTGAGCCACCTTCCCAGCCCCTAATTGAATGTTTTCTAACTGACTTATCGTATCACTTCCCATATAACTGCTTTGCTATCAAAGGCAAAAGGCTTTGGTTTGTATGGGTGTGATCTAAAATTCAGGTCTGATCTGGGAGTGCATACCTGTAATCCCAATACTCAGGAGGCTAAGGCATAGGGATCAAGAGTTTGAGGTCACTCTAGGCTTTGTAGCCCAGACTGGCTCACAACAAAGCCAACACTGATCAGATATTTCATATGTTGATCAAATTGACTAGCTGGGGCTAGTGTTTATACCTTTATGTTATAGTTTGAGGATCCTATTTACCAAGCTACTTTATAACTCAATCCAAATTCAAGTTATTACATGGAAAGGTAGATTCCCTAGTCTGTTTAAAGTTAACATTCAGGTAAGCAATTCAGGATATTATAGCGATGTTAGGTTACAACTTTACTTCTATTAGGCACTGGTGACTCATATCTTAATCCTAGCCACCCAAGAGGCTAACTTGTGAGGATCTCAGTTAAGGAACTAGCCAGCCAAAAAGTTTGTGAGACTCCATTTCTGATTAACTACCAAAAAAGTGGGACTAGAGGTATGACTCATGGTAGAGTGCCACCAAGTGAGAGAGTAACGCTTTAAGTTCAAACTCTTGTACTGGCACAAAAACAAAAAAAAAAGAAAAACAACTTTGCTTCATAAAATGTTTCTTTCATTTTCTAGGTTACAAACAGATGAAGAACGAGAAAGGAATGGATCTGAGGAAGATGATGATGAGAAACCAGGGAAACGTGTTATTGGACCAAGAAAGAAATTCCACTGGGATGACACCATTAGGTAAGAGTTTAACATCTTTACTTCTGACCAAATATATAGTATAGAAAAGTAGCCAGGGACTGGGAAGGTGGCTCAGTGGTAGAGCGCTTGCTTTGCATGCTAGAAGCCCTGGGTTCGATTCCTCAGCACTACATAAGCAAAAAGAAAAAAGCCAGAAGTGGTGCTGTGGCTCAAGTGGTAGAATGCTAGCCTTGAGCTGAAGAGCTGAGGGACAGTGCCTAGGCCCAGAGTTCAGGCCCCAAGACCGGACCCCCCCCCCAAAAAAAGAAAGAAAAGTAGCCGGGTGCCAGGCTCACGCCTGTAATCCTCGCTACTCAGGAGGCTGAGATCTGAGGATCATGGTTCAAAGCTAGCCCAGGCAGGAAAGTCTGTGAGACTCTTATCTCCAATAAAAACCACTAGAAAACTGGAAGTGGTGCTGTGGCTCAAGCGGTAGAGTACTTGTGCCTTGAGTTGAAGAGTGCAGGGACAGTGCCCAAGCCCAGAGTTCAAGCCCCACGACCAATAACAATAACCAAAAAAAATCTGTATAAATGGAAAAAATAGATTGGAAACAAACTAGAAATTAGTCAAGGAAATGCTAATTTGGTTCTAATTAGTCTCCTTAGAGTACTAAAGCTTTTCATACTTTTTTATAGGCTAATCTAATAATGGAATAAGTCATACTGGTTTCATAAAATTCAGTCTCAATACACTTAAGTAAACCAGCCATCTTTCATACCCTACAAAGACAGCTGTCAGTCTCAGGCGTCTTAAGTAAAGGTGAAGAGGGAAATTGCCTCATGATGGAGATTTGACTGTCATACAGTGAATGCTATACGTTAGGAATGACTCATTGTCACGCCATTGTCTGCATTCTTCAGCTAATATTCTGTATTACTGCTTGTAGATTTGTGTGCTTAAAAAAAAAAATCTGTTGCAAAAAGAGAGAAAGGAAATAACCAACCATTGGGGTTGGAGGCATGGCTCAGAGGTTAGAGCACTATCTAGTAAGTGAGAGTGTTAGGTACTGAGTTAGAATTCTGGTTCCAGACCTAAAAAAAAGTGAGAGAGAGAGAAAAAAAAAACCTTAGTTTTCTACAGTTTTGTGTTCAAATTTGTATGTAAATATGTTTGTTTTTATCTGTTTAGAACTTTGTTGTGTAACCTGGTTAAGATCAAGTTGGGATGCTATGAATTAGAGCCAAATAAAAGCCAGTCAGCTGAGGATTATCTTAAATCATTCATGGAGACAGAGGTGAAGCCATTGTGGCCTAAGGGCTGGATGCAGGCGAGGTAAGAAATGTGACTTCTGAAATTCTCTTTTACTTTCTTGTTTTGCTATGCACAGACATACATGATATTGATTTTGCTAAGAACCTAAGGTGCTCAACGTCCTATGTTAGATGATCTTTGCTTTGAAAACTTAAAGTAGAAGACAAAATGACTGGAGGCATGGCTTCAGTGGTGGGTTCCTAATTATCAAACAAAAGGCCCTTAGTTCAAATCTTAGTATTTCCAGGAAGAAAGAAGTTTAATACTTCCAGGTGCTGGTGGCTAATGTGTATGATTCTAGCTAAGATCTGAGAATCATGGTTTGAAGCCAGTCTGATCAGAAAAGTCCATGAGACTCTTATCTCCAATTACCCCAAAAAAGCCTGAAGTAGAGCTTTAGATCAAGTGGTAGAGGGCTAGCATAAAAGCTCAGGATGGGCACAAAAAAAAAGTTTAAGAGAAAACAATCATGTGGACATAGAGATAAACAGATGGGCATAGGCATGAAAATACTTTGTTTACTACCTTTTTGTTTGTGCCTCAATTTGTTGTTAATAGTGAAAAAAGAGATGAGAGCTGATAGTTTGAAACCTTAGCTGGGAAACTTTTATGGGGTAACATGTAAATAAGGAATTGAATATAGGCTTTGGAGCATAAGAAAAAAGAGAGGCAGCCTTAGGTTTTCTTGAAAGTAATATTAGAGGAATATTTCAAAAACAAAGTGGGCATCTTTGAAGTCTCAAAATTTTAGACTATAAAATTTTATAATAAACTTGGTTATTAACTCATCTTAAAATGTCCCATTATAGCAACAAAAATAATCATTTCTGTTGATGTTAAAATATGATACCAGTGGCTCCTGCCTGTAATCATAGCTACTTTAGGGACCTGTAGTCACAGCTACTTTAGGAAGCGAGATCAAGAGGATCCATTCAAAGCAAGCCTGAACATACACAGTGGCTCATACCTGCCAAGTTGGAATCTTAAAATAAGAATCAAAACCCAGGGGCTGGGAAGGTGGCTCAGTGGTAGAGCGCTTGCCTTGCATGCGTGAGGCCCTGGGTTCGATTCCTCAGCACCACATGACCAAAAAGAAAAAAGCCGGAAGTGGCACTGTGTCTCAAGTGGTAGAGCACTAGCCTGGAGCTGAAGAGCTGAGGGACAGTGCCCAGGCCCAGAGTTTCAGGCCCCATGACCAGACCCCCCCCCCCCCCAAAAAAAAAAAAAAAAAAGAATCAAAACCCAGGCACATTCTCAGGCTGGAACAAAAACCCTGTTTCAAAAACAGCCAGTGTTCAAAAGGATTGGTAGTGTAGTGTAACTCAACAGTAGCATAGCCTAGCAAGCATGAGGCCCTGAGTTCAAACCTCAGTATATGAAGGGAAACAACCAAGCGAATAAAGAAGAGACAAAACGCTCCATAATGCTGGGTGCCGGTGGCTCACGCCTGTAATCCTAGCTACTCAGGAGGCTGAGATCTGAGGATCACGGTTCAAAGCCAGCCCAGGCAGGAAAGTCCGGGAAACTTTTTTTTTTTTTTTTTTGTCAGTCATGGAGCTTGAACTCTGGGCCTGAATGCCTTCCCTTCAGCTCTTCAGCTCAAGGCTAGCACTCTATCACTTGAGCTACAGCACCACTTCCAGTTTTCTGGTGGTTTATTGGAGATAAGAGTTTCAAAGAACTTTCCTGCCCAGGCTGGCTTTGAACCGCCATCCTCAGATCTCAGCCTCCTGAGTAGCTAGGATAACAGGTATGAGCCCTCCGGGCCGTGAAACTCTTATCTCCAGTAAACCACCAGAAAACGAAACTCTTTTCTCCAATAAACCACCAGAAAACTGGAAGTGGTGTTGTAACAAGTGGTAGAGCGCTAGCCTTGAGCTAAAGAGCTGAGGGACAGCGCTCAGGCCCAAAGTTCAAGCCTCACAACTGACCAAAAAAAAAACCCACCAACACCATCAACTCTCCATAAAATGTATATGATTATACTGAACCATTACAATTTTTACTCTTAAATAAGCAAGTAATAGCTATTGAAAATCAAACACAATAGCAATTAAAAATCAAGTGATTTAAAAGATGAAGCTGAGTGTGGTGATAAATACCTGTGATCCCAGCATTCTGGAGGCTAAGTGGAAAGAAAGTTATTAGTTCAAACCATTTAGAGCTACATAGTAAGTTCAAGGCCAACCTAAACTATATATCAAGATCCTGTCTGTAAAACAAAAGTGAATTATATTATCTGCTACTAAAAAGAATAACCATTTGTGTTTTTTTTTTTTCAGAATGCTTTTTAAAGAAAGCCGGAGTGTACATAATCATCTTACTTCTGCTCCGTGAGTAAATGCCAACCCCAAATTTCATTCCTTTTTTTAAAAAAAAACTAGGTATTTTTATGCAGTTTTCATCATACAACTTTTCCTTTTTTCCTAGCCCAGGCTAGTGTGGAATTTGAGTTCAGTTTGCCTCAATTATCTGAATACTGGGGTTGCTCACATGAGTTACCATAGCCAGCACTACTGTCTTTTTTTTTTTTTTTTTTTTAAGTCATTTGCCTGTTAGGGACTTTAGATCAATCTATTGAAATAGTTCCTCAGGCTTTGCTACATGAGAAATGCAAACAGGAGGATGATAGTTCAGGCTTGCCTGGAGAAAAGCTAACAAAAAGGAATCAAGTTGTGCTTTTAAGTGATAGAACACCTTCCTAGCAAGCATAAGGCCATAAGTTTAAAGCAAAAGAGAGAGAGAGAGAATATGCAAATACACATAGCACAAGTTATCAAGAATTTACTGAGTACTGTATTCAGTATTCGAAGATCTCTGATTACCTTTTGGGAAGCATCAGAGAAATTACAGAATTCTTCCTCTCCTTGTGTACAGTTTTGATAATAAGTTGATTTTTTATTTTATTTTATTTTATTTGTTTTTTTGTCAGTCATGGGGCTTGAACTCTAGGCCTGGGCGCTGTCCCTCAGCTCTTCAGCTCAAGGCTAGCACTCTACCACTTGAGCCACAATGCCACTTCCAGCTTTTTCTGCTTATGTGGTGCTGAGGAATCGAACCCAGGCCCTCATGCATGCAAGGCAAGCACTCTACCACTGAGCCACCATCCCAGCCCAGGGCTTATACTCTTGATGGACCTTTTTACTTATGGCTGATGTCATCACTTGAGCCACATCTTTAGTCTTGCTTTGTTGCTGGTTAATTAGAAATAGAGTCTTGTAGACTTTACTATTCTGACAGGCTTTGAACTGAGATCCTCATATCTCAGCCTCCTGCATAACTGGTACCCAGTTAGCCACTGGTACCCAGCGTAAGTTGATTTTCTAATTTTTTCCCTAGATTTTAACTGTTTGTTTGGTGTGTCATCCAAGGTCCATTGAGTTGGCTATCACTTTCCTTTCTTACTGTTGTTTTGTGCCAAGTTGTTTGGTTTGCTTTATTTTGAGATGGGGTCTTACTGTGTTGCTCAGTCCAGTCTCAAAATTCCTGGGCTCAGACTATTCTCCTGCCCTGGCTTCCTGTGATATAGCTTGGACTAAAATCATGCACCACTACACCACCTTCCTTATTGGGACACTTTGGTCTCATCAACTACAAGTTTATGGGATAAGGATAGACATTTATATATAGATACATATAATTTAATAATATTTGCAGCTTTTAATTTCCCTGTAGTTATAAAACCACATAGGCATTATAAAACAATGTCTTTCGTTCTGTAACTGTTTTGTATAGATTCCTTCATTTAGCTTCTTTTTTTTGAGACAGGTCTCATCTTGTTTCTCAGTCTGGCTTGGAGCTCCTGAACTTGAGTGAGTCTCCTGCCTAGAGCTCACCTTACTCAGCTCCCCTCAAAAGTTTAAAAATAGCTCCACTGTAGCTGGGCGTGTTAGCATATCCCTATAATCTTGAGAAGCAAAGGTTAAGAGGATTGAAGTTCAAGGACTACCAAGGCAAAAGTTAGCAGGACCTCATCTCAAACTAAAAAGAAAAGCAAGGACATGGCTTGTGGCTCAAATAGTAGAGGGCTCACCTAGCAAACATAAGGCCTTAGTGTTATCCCTTCTTATCATATACACAATCTTTATTATTCTAACTTTGTGTTTTGTTTTTGTTTATACCATAATGTAGGAATCTATAGGATAGATGAGCATGGAGGGCATTTGGTGGACTGGCCCTGTTGCCTAAACACTTTGAAAATTGTATTGTGTGTATGTATGTGTGTATGTGTCTGCTTTTCTTCCAGACAATTTTTTCCTTTTATTTAAATTCTATTTATTCAATGAGGTTTGTTACAACATTTCTATATATGAGTATAATGTATTTTTGTCCTATTCACACTTTCTATTACTCCTTTTTTTTGGGGGGGGGGGGGAGGGGTTGGTCATGGGGCTTGAACTCTGGACCTGAGTGCTGTCCCTCAACTCTTCAGTTCAAGGCTAGTGCTCTATCACTTGAGTCACAGTGCCACTTCCCATTTTTGTTCAAAGCTAGAGCTCTACCACTTGAGCTACAGCTCCACTTCTGGCATTTTTGGTAGTTAATTAGAGAGTCTCATAGACTTTCCTGCCCTGACTTTGAACCACCATTTTCAGATTTCAGTCTCCTGAGTAGCATGGATTACAGGTGTGAGCTACCAGCACTTAGCCAATTGCTGACATTTTAATTTAGCAAAGTGGAAATATTCAAGTAAGGTGAGATATTTTAGCTTGTCAGTCTTTTAATTATTCAACAATTATTCAACAAGCTCTTCTGTGTAGCCTAAAAGATTTTTAAGAAAGAAATTCATTGTTAATTATAAAGGTGATGTCAGAGGGGTTATAGCTATATACATCAAGTAATGAGTACATTTATTTTTGGACTGTGTCACCCCTTCCCTCACTCCCAGTTTTTCTTTCCTGTCTCCACTTACAAGTTGGATCGTTCATTTTTAGCATAGTGTCCTAGTGAGTAACTGCTGCATTTGTTCACCCTTTGTCCCTCCATTTCTGTGACTCCCCTTACCCTCCCAAAGACAATTAAATGAACAAACAAGACAAAAAGGAAAGAAAACAAAAACAACAACAATGAAAAAAACTCATTTCCATTTCTTATAGGATTCCTCCCCTATGAATGTACTTGACTTTGTCATTTGTTATTCAAAATGCATTTACACTCCTCTGTTATGGCTTAATTCAACCTTAGAGTTCTTTGAACCTATTCTCTTCCTACAGTGGTAAACTCTTGCCAAGTCTTGAAGTTAGTCTTCTTAGGTAACTTTGTCAATCTGTCTTGAATTAGTTTATATTATATGGATTTACATTAGATCCTACTTTTTTTTTTTTTAATCATCCGTCTTGAACTAAGGACCTGGGCACTATACCTGAACTTATCCGCTCATGGCTAGTACTCTTAACACTTTGAGCCACAGTTCCACTTTGAGCCACAGTTCCACTTCTGGTTTTGTGGTGGTTAATTAGAGATAAGAATCTCATGGGGCCTTTCCTGCTTGGGCTGGCTTTGAACTAAGATCCTCAGCCTCCTTGAGTGACTAGGACTTTAGGTGTAAGCCACTAGCACTTGGTTATATTTAGTTTTTAAAATTTCTGTGCTTCATCTACTTTTCACTGGTATTCGTAACTTTTCACTTACTATTTATGTGGCCTTTTCTTCGTGCTAATCTAAGTTGGAGAAAATGTTGCAGAATATTGCAATAAAAATAGTCCTTTCTTCCTTCACAGAGCTTTCCAAAGGACGGAGGAATTATTTACCCATTATTTACCCATATAAGGTCATATGTTATAATTTCCTAGTGAATGATAACTGCTATTGAATGGCTTTCATTTTAATCTTTTATTTTAGGGCAAAGAAAAAAGTGATTCCTGCATCCAAACCCAAAGTAAAGGTAAGAATTCACCAAATCTATAGTTGATCATAATGCGTGAATATTGAAATGTATTAAGACACACAGCAATAATCAATAGGTATTATATCCTAAATTGGATATTTTAAACTTAGTAAACATCCTTATAATCTTTATATAAATGGCTGTGTATTGGTGGCAAATGTATATTTTAATTAAATTACACAGTTTAAATTAATTCTTCTTAAATTCTAAGAAGATAAAATGTACCAAATACTATTTAATTTATTTATTTTAGTTTTTTAATTTTTATTTTTTGGTCCGGTTGTGGGGCCTGAATTCTGAGCCTGGGTGTTGTCCCTCAGCTCTTCAGTTCAAGGCTAGCGCTCTACCACTTGAGCCACAGTGCCACTTCCGGCTTTTTTCTTTTTGCTTATGTGGTGCTGAGGAATCGAACCCAGGGCCTCAGGCATGCAAGGCAAGCGCTCTACCACTGAGCCACCTTTCCAGCTCCCCAAATACTATTTTAAAACACAGCAAAGAAGCCGGGCGCTGGTGGCTCACGCCTGTAATCCTAGCTACTCAGGAGGCTGAGATCTGAGGATCGTGGTTCAAAGCCAGCCCAGGCAGGAGAGACCGTGAGACTCCTATCTCCAATAAACCACCAGAAAACCGGAAGTGGCGCTGTAGCTCAAGTGGTAGAGCGCTCGCCTTGAGCTGAAGAGCTGAGGGACAGCGCCCAGGCCCAGAGTTCAAGCCCCACGACCGACAAAAAAAAAACAAAAACAAAAAAAAAAAAAAACACAGCAAAGATTACAAATATAGAAGAGAAGTTTGAAGGCCAAAAGCAAAGGAGGGGTGTCCAGGCGTGGAAACATGGCTGAAACCCTCATTGTCTTTGGCACTGCTGTCCATCAGTTCCTGGTTTCTTTTCACTTTCCTTATTAGAATATAGCCAACAGACAGAGATTATAATTGGAGAGAAACCCACATAAAGCTGAGCCTCAGATGAAAGCATTTTTGGTAAAAGAAAGGATTAGCAAATAGCACCCATCAACAGAGAGATTGAGAACATCTTCTGACTGGTCATGGTGTCTATGATTGTAATCTTAGCACTTGACTAACGTGGGATCACAAGTTCATGGCCATTCTGAACTGCTTAGCAAGACTCTCTTACAGAAAACCACACCAACCTGGGCATAGTGGCTCATGCTTGTGATCCTAACTAAATCCAGGGGATTGTGATTTGAGGCTAGCCTGACTTACATAGGTGCTGGTTAGTGTGTGCTCCATAACTTTCATCTCTCTGAATATGTGAGTTGTTTTGCCTGTAAGCTGGCACTTGCTGTAGTCTGTTAACCTTCTCACCTTTTAGTGCTATAGCCTCTTTGAATACAGAACAACTAATTGTCTTTTTCTTAGTTACTACCTACTCCATGTAAGATTGAGCCACTGTTTTGTTCAATCTCTCAATGGACACCCCTTCCTCCCAGTATACCATTTTTGGTGTAAAAATTATATAAGAAAACGCTTTCAGGGTTGGTAATGTCACTTAGTGGTAGAGCCCTTGCCTTGCATACATGAAGCCCTGGTTTCGATTCCTCAATACCACATAAACAGAAAAGGCTGGAAGTGGCACTGTGGCTCAAGTGGTAGAATGCTAGCCTTGAGTACAGAGAGGCTCAGAGACAGTTCCCAGGCCCTGAGTTTAAGCCCTAGGACTGGCAAAACAAAAAACAAACAAAAAAGAAAATGCTTTTAGTAGGAAGGAAAAATGTAAAAGCATACAGGAAATGTCTCCTGAGGGAAATGTCTCCTGAGAGAAATGAACTCCTAACTTCCTGCAATACATCTGTCTTCCTTTCTTGGTCTTCCTCTTTGGTCCCTATTCACTCAACCAATCATTCAATATAAGTAGAATAACCTGTTTTTGACTCAGCTATGTATCCTGAATGATTTACTTTACCATGGTAAGTCTATTCTGTGGGTAGATATAGTATTGATTTTATAAAGAAGAATATAATTATTTAAAACACATTTTATAGTAGTATAACAATACTCATATACCTTCTCCACGCTAATTCTGTGCTCTTTGTAAAATGGAATTTTTGCTTATCATGCAATTAGCCTATCAAAGCAAATAGCATCTCATAGGCATTATCTGTTCATCTTAGCAGACAGCGTCTTTAATTCAGCTATACTTTGTAATTCTGATAGGTGGTGAGATTTTCAGTTGAGAGTGTCTTAGTGTAAAAGTTAAGAAAAATGACAAGAAAATTAGAGTATAACTATATGCTTGACAGCTTACTTACTATAATACCTTAGGAGGTGATGGTAAAGACCCATCCTTCCCATTCTTTCCCCACTATGCTTAAAGGAAAGTGCTGTGGTTGTATAAGCAATGAGATTCTGAATCTGTCTGTTTTTAAAGAACGAATTGAAAAGACTTTAAAATGATTTACATAAAGTTTTGCTTAAGATGAATTAAACTTTGTATTTTCTTAAAGAAACAGTACTAAACTGTACTTAAATCTCCTATTACTTCCTTGAATTTTAAGGAAGTTAATTTTTTTTCAGTCATGGGTCTTGAACTCAGGACCAGCATTCCACCACTTTGAGCCACAGCGCCACTTCTGGTTTTCTTGTGATTAATTGAAAATAAGAGTCTTACAGACTTTGCTGCTTGGACTGGCTTCAAATCATAATCCTCACATCTTAGCTTCCTGAGTAGCTAGAATTATAGGTATGAGCTACCAGGATCTGGTTGAGAAAGAATATTTTCAGACAACAGATAATATTCTTTTAGTTATTTAGAGGTTTCCCTTGTTTTCTTTTTCTTTTCCTTTTTTTTTGCCAGTCCTAGGACTTGAACTCAGAGCTTGGGCACTATCCCTGAACTTATTTGGCTCAAGGCTAGCCTAGCATTCTACCACTTGAGCTACAGTGTCACATCTGGCGTTTGCTGTGTGTATGTGGTACTGAGGAATCTATCCCAGGGTTTCATGCATGCTAGGCAAGCACTCTACCACTGAGCCACATTCCTAGCCATATTTCCCTTGTTTTCTGAGCATAGAAACTTCCTTTCAGTATACACCTAGTAAACACATACTTGAATAACTTACAAATGACTTCTACCATAATGAGTAGGAAATAATTATTTAAAATGCTTGGAATGTTTTAGGTGTCTATGTTTTAGATGTGGGTCACTGCATGCTACATACTGCATACTACAGCATATAAAGAGTCAGAAATGGGAAAAAGCAAAGAACAATGGTCAGCATCCTAGGAAACCTTACTAGAAAAGAAAAGTAGTCTTTAAATATAAAGGAGAGCCGGGCACCGGATGGCTCACACCTGTAATCCTAGCCACTTGGGAAGCTGAGCTCTGAGGATTGAGGTTCAAAGCCAACCTGGGCAGATTTTTATTTCCAGTTAACCATCAAAAAGGCAGAAGTAGGGGCTGGGAAGATGGCTCAGTGGTAGAGCACTTGCCTTGCATGCCTGAGGCCCTGGGTTCGATTCCTCAGCACCACATAAGCAAAAAGAAAAAAGCTGGAGTGGCACTGTGGCTCAAGTGGTAGAGCGCTAGCCTTGAGCTGAAGAGCTGAGGGACAGCGCCCAGGCCCAGAGTTCAGGCCCCACGTCCGAACCCCAAAAAAAAAAAAAAAAAAGGCAGAAGTGGAGATATAACTCAAATGGTAGAGCACCAGCCTTGAGTGAAAAAGCCAAGTAAGAGTACGAGGACCTGAGTTCAAGCCCCAGTACCAGAACAAAATAATAATTATTTTGGCTTTGACAGTCTGAAGATGTCTAATACAAAAGCAGTTTTAGTCATCAGGATAATTTCTCACTGCTTTTAAACCATTGTAATTTTTTAATTAACTGTTTCTATTTTTTCTCATATGATGCGACTTATACTAGGAGTGTAGTCCAAAAAAGGACTCAAAAGCACCTTCATCCTTGGTGGCTTCAGTCAGTGGTCCTTCATCCAGCTCCAGTGCTTCTGTTGTTGCTTCAACCAGCTCCAGCTCAACACCAGCTCAAGAAACCATCTGCCTCGATGACTCCCCAGATGAAGACCTTTCTTTCCACTCGCCTTCACTGGAACTTGTTTCTGAAGCTTTGGCTGTCATCAACAATGGGAACAAGGGCACTGCAGTTGGCTCAAGGATAAGCATGCCAGGTACAAAACCTCGTCCAGGACTAAGAGAAGAAAAATTAGCAACTATCATGAGTAAGCTGCCACTGGCAACTCCCAAAAAACTAGATTCTACTCAGACCGCACATTCATCAAGTCTTATTGCTGGTCACACAGGACCAGTACCAAAGAAACCCCAGGATTTAGCTCATACTGGCATCTCTTCTGGCCTTATTGCTGGTTCTTCAATTCAGAACCCTAAAGTCTCCTTAGAACCGTTGCCAGCCAGGCTACTTCAACAAGGACTACAAAGGTCAAGCCAGATTCATGCTTCTTCCTCTTCGCAGTCTCATACATCCTCTTCTTCCCAAGCCCAAGTTGCTGCCTCCTCTCACACTCTGGGAACATCAGAGGCCCAAGATGCTTCTTCATTAACACAAGTCACAAAGGCCCACCAGCACTCAGCTGTCCAGCAGAACTATGTTTCTCCATTACAGGCAACCATTAGTAAGTCACATACCAACCCAGTGGTGAAATTAAGTAATAATCCCCAACTTTCCTGTTCATCCCCACTACTGAAGACTTCAGATAAGCCACTTATGTACCGGCTCCCCTTATCTACCCCCTCCCCTGGAAACGGTTCTCAGGGGTCTCTGGTTCCCCTGGTTTCTAGGACAGCACCAAGCACCACTACCTCTAGTAACTATTTAGCCAAGGCTATGGTGTCACAAATCTCCACGCAGGGTTTCAAATCCCCCTTCTCAATGACTGCATCCCCAAAACTTGCCGCATCTCCCAAACCTGCCACATCTCCCAAGCCCTTGCCCTCACCTAAGCCTTCTGCTTCACCCAAGCCCTCTCTGTCAGCCAAGCCTTCAGTGTCATCTAAACTAATTTCTAAATCCAACCCAGCTCCCAAGCCTACAATATGCCCAAGTTCTTCCAATCCAAATACACTAGTAGCCCAGAGTAGCCACTCTACCAGTAACAACCCGGTCCATAAACAGCCCACTGGATTGAACATCAGCAGACAGTCTCCCACCTTGAATTTAATGCCCTCTAATCGCACTTCAAGCCTTCCGTCTACAAAAAATCTTCAGGCCCCTTCTAAGCTAACAAACTCGTTATCTACTGGAACTATTGGGAAGAACAGCTTGAGTGGAATTGCAATGAATGTACCTGCCAGCAGAGGTAGCAACCTTAACTCAAGCGGAGCTACTAGGACTAGTCTATCTGGTGGAACAGGAAGTGGAATACAGGGTGCTACTAAATCGTTATCTACTCCACATAGACTGTCCTCTGCCTCAGGGTCTTCAGTGGTAACAGCCAGTGTGCAGGTATGTATGTATGAATGTTCTGGATCTTCACATGTAAGATTGCAGTCTTTCTTCTGAGCTGCTTTTATGAGCTTAAATATAATGTATGCAATATGTAAGCTGTAATGGATGTTATATTAGACTGATTATGGTTATTGCCATGGAATGTTGCTGATGATGATATCATCATAACCAGTGACTGACACACTTGCGGATCAGAGTTTATTGGGACCTGGTTTTGTGTTCCTTTTATTTTTTTGTTTTGTTGTAGGAAAGTATCACATGTTGGGCTGGATATGGTGATGTGAAATTATACAATCATCTCAGCTAGTTGAACAGCTGAGGCAGGAGGATCTCAAGTTTAAAGACGAGCTTGGGCAGCTTACTGAATATGTCTCAAAATAAAGTAAAAAGGGGCTGGGATGTTAGCTCAGGGTTAGAGCACCTGCCTAGTATGTGTGAGACCCTAGGTAGATGGATCTTTAGTATCTACCCCCCCCAAATACTATTACATGTTCACCTTAACATTAACAAACAGTGAAACTGCGTTTAAAATTATATTTCAAACTGGTGATGTAGTTCTGTGGTAAAGAAATTGCCTACCATTACACAGCCCTGTATTTAATCTTTAGTGCTGAAAAATAACAAAAATGAAAACTGTGTAGGGCATGGTGTTCCATGCCTGTAATCTTAACCCTCAGGAAGCTAAGGCAGATCTGGAGTCACAGGCCAGCCTGAAACTGGGCTACATAATGAGATATTAATTTTAAAAAACCCAACATCAATTAAAATCAAACTGGCAGGCACCGGTGGCTCATGCCTGTAATCCTAGATATTGAAGAGTCTGAGATCTGAGATCGGGGTTCAAAGCCAGCTCAGGCAGGAAAGTTCCTGAGACTCTTATCTCCAATATACCACCCGAAAACTGGAAGTGGTGCTGTGGCTCAAGTGGTAGAGTGCTAGCCTTGAGCAAAAGAAGCTCAGGAACAGTGCCCAGGCCCTGAGGTCAAGCCCCACAACTGACGGGAAAAAAAAAAAAAAAAGCAAACTATATCTCCTAGGTTAAAATAAAGAATTAAATGAAAATTTAAGATTCTAACATAACTTCAAAACATGGAACGTAATCTGGATACCGATTGCTCACACCTATAATCCTAGCTACTTGGGAGGCTGAGATCTGAGGATTGCAGTTAAAAGCCAGCCCGAGCAGAAAAGTCTATGAGACTCTTACCTACAATTAACCACCAGTAAACCAGAAGTGGCACTGTGGCTCAAAGTGGTAGAGCACTAGTCTTAAGCAAAAAAGCTCAGGGACAGAATCTAGGCCCTGAGTTCAAACATGACCGACAAAAAAAACCACATGGACTGTAGATGTTATTTTTTTTTTTTTTTTTTTTTTTTTTTTGGGTCCGGTCGTGGGGCTTGAACTCTGGGCCTGGGCGCTGTCCCTCAGCTCTTCAGCTCAAGGCTAGCGCTCTACCACTTGAGCCACAGTGCCACTTCCGGCTTTTTTCTTTTTGCTTATGTGGTGCTGAGGAATCGAACCCAGGGCCTCAGGCTTGCAAGGCAAGCGCTCTACCACTGAGCCACCTTCCCAGCCCCCTGTAGATGTTATTTTATCTTAGCTTTGCATAGCTGATCACTTCTTTCTTTTCACACACTCTTAGTCACTAACTGCTTCACTCCACAAACAGTAAATATTGCTCCGACTGACTGTGTGTGTGTGTGTGTGCGCGTGTGAGCATGTGAGCGTGTGTCCGTGTGCATGTGTACATGCTTACTGGCCCTGGGTCTTGATCAGTATGGGTGCTGTCCTTGAGCTTCTTTTTTTTTTTTTCCTCTCAAGGCGCACACTCTACTACTTGAGCTATACCTTTACTTCTAGCTTCTTTGGGGGAAATTGGAGATAAGAGTATCAAGGACTTTTTTGCCCAAGTTGGCTTTAAACCATGGTCCTCAGATCTCAGCCTCCTGAGTAGCTAGGATTATAAACATAAGCTTCCAGCACTCTGCCTTGATATTTCTTAAGCTCAAAAAAATTTATGTGTCTGAGTATTGTTTTTGATTAATTTATCTTTTTTTTTTTTGGTGGGGGGGTCCAGTTGTGGGGCCTGAACTCTTGGCCTGGGCGCTGTCCCTCATCTCTTCAGCTCAAGGCTAGCACTCTACCACTTGAGCCACAGCGCCACTTCCGGCTTTTTTCTTTTTGCTTATGTGGTGCTGAGGAATCAAACCCAGGGCCTCATGCCTGCAAGGCAAGCACTCTACCATTGAGCCACCTTCCCAGACCCTTGATTAATTTATCCTAAGTGTTTTTGTTTCTTTGTTTTTTGACATAAGGTCTTGTATAGTATGTCAGGCTAACCTTGACCTCATAATCCTCCTGCCTCAATCTCCTGAGTACTGGGATTGTGCCTGTCTAGCTTTCCCCTAGTTTTTGAGAACTCTTATTATTCATAGATTTTTTTTTTCTGGTCCTGTGGCTTGAACTCAGAGCTTGGACACTGTCCTTGAGCCTCTTTATCTCAAGGCTAGCACTCTACCACTTGAACCATACCACCACTTCTGTTTTTTTCTTTTATTTTGGGTCCGGTTGTAGGGCCTGAACTCTGGGCCTGGGCGCTGTCCCTCAGCTCTTCAGCTCAAGGCTAGCGCTCTACCACTTGAGCCACAGTGCCACTTCCGGCTTTTTTTCTTTTTTTTGCTTATGTGGTGCTGGGGAATCGAACCCAGGGCCTCATGCATGCAAGGCAAGCGCTGTACCACTGAGCCACCTTCCCAGCCCACTTCTGTTTTTTTCTAAGTTGTTTATTTGAGATAAAAATCTCACAGGCTTTTCTTTCTGAGTTGGCTTTGAACCTGATCCTCAGATCTCAACCTCCTGAGTAGCTAGGATTACAGGCATGAGCCACCTTCATACTAAGCAAATATCCCTTAATTTCAAACTTGGGTTTGCCATACAGGTTTATCTCTATATATCTATGGACTCAGCATTATTCGTAGATTATATCAGTGTTTACCATTGTCTACCAAGTTTATATTCTGAGTTCTCAAATTTGTCCTTCACATTAATGATTTCCTTATTATTTTTTCTCCTGGAAGATAATGTGTTCATTGTAGGCAAACTTAGGAAAAATAAATTAATTCATTTTCCCAGCAGTATTTTTCTCTGTGGGAATTTTATTATTTAATATTGTTTAGATATCATGACTTTTCTGACTTGTGGAATTGTGTGGTCTAAGGAAGTGCTCTAACAATACTTCCTCCTATTTTTTAGTAGGAATATGTAACAAAAGGATTTTCCCTGTTGTTTGTAGAGGTTCTTTATTGTTTAGAACATTGTAAGGGTTTGTATGCAGTACATGTTTAAAACCCAAAGCATAGCCAGGCGCTGGTGGCTCTCAACTGTAATCCTAGCTACTCAGTAGGTTAGATCTGAGGATGGTGGTTCAAAGCCAACCTAGGCAGGAAAGACTGACTGTTATCTCCAGTTAACCATCAGAAAACCAGAAGTGATGCTGTGGCTCAAAGTGGTAGAGCCTGCTAGCCTTCAAAGAGCTCAGGGACAGTGCCCACAGTGCCTGAGTTCAAGCCCCACAACCGACAAAACAAAACCCAAATTATTATTCTACCACTTAAGTAGGCTTAGGAATGACTTGGTTCCAGAATTTGATATATAGCAAGTTCAATTAATTGGTAGTTCACAAATTGAAGTATCAGATTAACCTGATTTATCTGTATAATTTCACTTTCATCAGCAACAAGAAAATAAAACCAGGTAGGGCAGAGTAGCACACACATCAGTTGTAGGCCTAGTAATCAGGAGACTAAGGCTGGAACATCACTTGAGCCCAGGAGTTCTCGATAAGCCTGAACAATGTAAGTGAGACCTCTCAATAAATAAAAGGGGTAAAAAAATAGATAAAGAAGGTGGCTCACACCTGTAATCCTCAGGAGGCCGAGATCCGAAGATTGTGGTTTGAAGCCAGCTTGGGCTGAAGAACCCCCCTGAGACTCTTACCTCCAATAAACTACTCCAAAAAGCTGGAAGTAGCACTGTGGCTCAACTGGAGTGCTAGCCTTGAGCACAAAGAGACTCAGGGACAGTATCCAGGCCCCTAGTTCAAGCCCCAGGACCAGAATAAAAAAAGAATAAAAGAATAAACACAAATAGTAAATTGGGATTATGTGTTAACATTTTAATTGTAAGTAAGGTCTGGAAATTCATCTTAATTACTATGTGTATTTGCTACAAAATTGACTCCTTTTAAAATTGACCTTTAATTTGATCAGGTGATTAAGTAGACAGATTCTAGCAGAAATAGAAGCTACTGTCCTGGGGCTGGGAAGGTGGCTCAGTGGTAGAGTGCTTGCCTTGCATGCCTGAGGCCCTGGGTTCTACTCAGCACCACATAAGCAAAAAGAAAAAAGCCGGAAGTGGTGCTGTGGCTCAAGTGGTAGAGTGCTAGCCTTGAGCTGAAGAGCTGAGGGACAGCGCCCAGGCCCAGAGTTCAGGGCCCACGACCGGGACTGTACCCCCCACTCCTAAAAAAAAAAAAAAGAAGTTACTGTCCTAAGCCCTTCATAGCATCACGTACTTTTTTTTTTTTTTGTCGTCGTGGGGCTTGAACTCTGGGCCTGAGCGCTGTCTCTCAGCTCTTCTCAAGGCTAGTGCTCTACCATGTGAGCCGCAGCGCCACTTCCAGTTTTCTGGGGGTTTATTGGAGATAAGAGTCTCATGGAGGGCTGGGAAGGTGGCTCAGTGGTAGAGCGTTTGCCTTGCATGCATGAGGCCCTGGGTTCGATTCCCCAGCACCACATAAGCAAAGAGAAAAAAGCCGGAAGTGGTGCTGTGGCTCAAGTGATAGAGCGCTATCCTTGAGCTGAAGAGCTGAGGGACAGCGCCCAGGCCCAGAGTTCAGGCCCACAACTGGACCCAAAAAAAAATAAGAGTCTCACGGACTTTCCTGCCTGGGCTGGCTTTGAACCGTGATCCTCAGATCTCAGCCTCCTGGGTAGCTAGGATTATAGGCGTGAGCCACTACCGCCTGGCTCTGTACTGTTTAACAGCCTTTTCTGCCTTTTAAATAAGAATAGTGAATGAAAAACTTTGGCTTTTATCAGTTTTATGTTTTGGCTTTTCATTATGAAAAATAAAACATATTTGCCCTGTTCTGAAAGAGCAATCACAATTTTTGGTTAAATCCATAATAATATAAATATTGTCTCTGTTAAGCTAAGTGTCATAGCTATGCTTTTGTTTGCACATTATAAATACAGGATTGAGAGTAAACTAGAAATTCTGTTTTCTTTTGTTCATTTTCTTTGAATTTAAAGCAGCAAGAAAGCTACATGACAAAATTTGTGTTTCTCCTTCCTGATTTTCTCCTCTCCCAGTGTTTCATATATGGTCTCTCAGTGCCTTCATATATGGTCTCATTTTCTCTGTCTTACTGGTTTGACTAGAGAAAAGCCAGTAATTGAATACGGTTGATTCTACTCTCTGTTTACCTAAGATTTTTATATGAACATAGCATCTCGTGTCTTATCACTGCCTTCCTATCTGTGCCTGTGAAACATTCTCTTGTCTGAAAGGCATCTGCTTTGTCTGTTCATCTGCAAGAGGAATATGATAGTCCTTTAGCTTTGTAGGACCAAACATAAAAATCTTTCTGGATCCAAATCATTAACTCTACTTGCTTTCTATTTAACCACTTTTCATTCAGGAGTTTCTTCTTCTGTCTTAAATTCAGCTTACTGATTTTCTATGAATCCTATTTTTGCCTCTTTATAACTACAGAACCCATATAGACAGGTGCAAACAGTAAATCCTCTTTTGCAACCCAGAACTCGCTGTTGAGTGAGATGTGGTACACATAAGAAGGAATATGATTTCTACAATAGTTGGCAGTGTGGGGGTTGGTTAACTCAAACAGGTTGTGAGAATAAAGTTGATGTAAAAGCTTAAAACGAACAAAAACAGAACCCAGCTGGGTGCTGGTGGCTCATGCCTGTAATGCTAGCTACTCTGGAAGCTGAGATTTGAAGATTGTGGTTCAAAGCCAGCCCAGGCAGGAAAGTCCATGAGACTTGTACCTCCAGTAAACCACCAGAAAACCGGAAGTAGCACTGTGGCTCAAGTGGTAAAGCACTAGCCTTGACCTGAAGAGCTCAGGAACAGCGCCCAGGCCCAGAGATCAAGCCCCACACCCGACTCAAAACAAAACAAAAACAGAATCCACTCATTGATGAAGCAAATGATTATTGTTTGCGCCATGTACCAGGCAGTCGGTGCCGGGGAACTGAGGGTCCCTTAGTCACACACTCTTACTCGCCTGTCCCACTCTTGTGGAGCTTCTACTTGACATAGGAAGATAGCCAAAGGGTAATTTTTGGTGGTGTGGTTTTGTTTTTTTTCATGTGGCAAGTACTATGAACCAAATAAAGGGTATGGATTGATTGCTGCTAACAAATGAAGGACTAGGGTAGTGTTCTTGTAGAAGTTACACTTTATTGAGGATTCCATGTGGAAAGAAGAAGGGAAAGTGTAAAGACAATGCCTGACTTTGCAGAGAAACCAGAACTGTATTAAAAGCTTAGGGCCACAATAAGAACTTCAGATTTCATTCTGTGTGCGTGTAGTCTTGAACAGTAGAGTGGTAAGGTCTGATTTACACTTAAGAAGATCACCCTGCTGGGTCATACCTGTAATTATAGCTACTCTAGAGTTGAGGTTGGAAGTCCTGCCAAGTAGGCAGACAAATCTGAGGGACTCTTAGCTCCCATTTATCTGCAAAAAGATGCAACTGGAGGTGTGGCTCAAGTGGTAGAGTGCCAACCCTGAATGGAAAAAAAAAAGAAAAGCACAGAAACCTGAACCCCAGTACTAGTACCAAAAGAACAAAAATACATATTAAAAAAGGTTACCCTGAATTGAATGTTGGGGTAAACTAGGGACAGGTATACTCACCCAAGAGGAAGATGGGATTTTGAAAAGATTGAATACTGAACATGAGAGGAGCATGAAATGTAGAGGTGATGGGAAATGGTTTTGAAATGGAACATTGACCTGAGCCTACTTCATTTACAGCTGCTTATTGCAAAGGTTATCAGCATTGGCTTTCTGGGAGGTCTCTATCTCAAGATAGGGACGTTTCTAAATGCCCATGTAACTGTATATTACCTAGTGTTTCAATTTCGATTTATAAATGTAAGTGGATACATTCTTAGAGAATATAAAATGTGAGATAATTGTGGCTGGTATTTTTTTTTAATTACTAACACACAGGCTTGGAACTTGCTTGTTTACATTTGCATCTATTTTAGTGCTTCTGGTGGACACCTCCAATAAGACTTGGAAAGGTTCTTAGCAGAATCTTATGTTCTTCACTCAGGCCACCCATGGGCAGAGAGTCTCAGAGACTCCCTGCCATCCTTTGCTGAAATACTCTTACCCAAAATAGAAGAAGAACAACTCTTGCTCAATGTTTAAACTGATGCAGGCTCTTTTCTGCCCTAGTTGTCTTAAGATGTGGTTATTTCTAACCTGGGTAATTTTTTCCCGATTGCACCAGCATAACAGAGGAACAGCAGACAAATTTTAAAAAGCCATCAAGTATAAAATGACCTAAGTATAAAATGATGAAGATTTGTAGTTCCATTTAAGAGGGAATACTGACTTGAAAAACAAAACAGGTGCGTTGACTGTAAGCGCACCTTCATTTTGTGAGGCCTGAGATTTAAATTGCAGACCGAGAGCAGAGGTTTGATGATTGCAGTTAGCAAAAGGTGGTAAGGACAAGGTTGCACAAGGTCATTCCAATTCTGTACACGTCAGGTCTGTGAGTGCTGGATCCTCAAGTGGGATAATTTAGTAAACCTTTGAACACAAAGGATTAACCTTGAAGTAACTGCCAGAACTGTGAATATAAATGTCAGCAGCAACAAAGGACATGGAGGTGGAAATGAATGGAAAACCCAGAACAGAATGTTTCTGGAGAATATTCTTCACTTTTTGTTCAGCGGTGGTATGGACACTTGAGTGTAAAAATGTATGTAATATGGCATTCATACATCTAATGGGAAAATTGCATTTTTGAGTACTATTAAAAAACCATCAGCCCTTTTTAAATTAATATGGTGTGTTAGTGGAAATAACAAAAAATTATACTAAACAAATAAGTGTTAACAATAGATAACATTTATGTTGAATAAAACATAAAGGATTGAGTTTTCCTGACCCAGTTTAGAACTGTAAAATGTTTGATGACGGGAGTTTGGATTTGATTTAAAAAAAAAAAAAAAACCCACAAAAGAAAAATTACAGTGGCAGAAACTCTAGTAAGTAATGTCTAGTATTGAGAAAATTTAAGGCTGTCAAATCTTCGTAATTATACATCAGAAAGAGAAAGGTCAAATAGGAACAAATCATTTACTGCAATTAGCTTAGGGAGTACAATTTCCCAATGAAATCTCACGAGTGTTAGCTTGTGATCTAAGTGCTTTTATTTATAAACAGGGGCTCAAGCCCATGTGACCAAGAATGGAAATTCTTCCCAGTTTGCCTCTTACCTTAGGGACTCTGAGTTGAAAAAAGCAGTGAAATAGAAACCAGTCTTCAGAGATATGGAAAGTGGAAGTTGCCGTTGAGTTACTTTGATTATAAAAGGAATACAAATAATATTAGATTATTTCGAGGAGTTGGGAAAGATCCAGAAGTAATAGTGTGATTCTTTAAAAAAAGAAGAGGTCTTTATCTGAGAAGACAGAGGAATGAATCATGGACAGACAATACTAGCTATATGTAAGAGAATTCTACAAAGAAGAGGGCTAAGCATGTAGCTCAGCTGATACAGTACTTTCTTTCTTTCTTTTTTTTTTTTTTTTGGGGGGGGGGGGTCCAGTCGTGGGGCCTAAACTCTGGGCCTGGGCGCTGTCCCTCAGCTCTTCAGCTCAGGGCTAGCGCTCTACCACTTGAGCCACAGCGCCACTTCCAGCTTTTTCTTTTTGCTTATGTAGTGCTGAGGAGTCGAACCCAGGGCCTCAGGCATGCAAGGCAAGCGCTCTACCACTGAGCCACCTTCCCAGCCCTGATACAGTACTTTCTAAAAAAGTGTGAGGCCCTGGCTTCAAGCTCAGTACCACAAGTAATTGAAGGAAGGGAGAGAGAGAGAAAACTTATGTCTACAAATTCAGATGGGGCATAAGTAAGATTATCCATTAGCTTTGGGGAAAGCTAGGTGACCTCACTTTTTTGTTGTTGGTTTTTTAAGGTGCCGTGATCAAAGTAAAAGCTATAGACTAGGACTCAAATAACAATGGTTAGGAACTGCAGCTGCTGCAGGCATTGTGCCAGGAGCAGTCATAACACGAAAAGGAACATCTCTAGTTACAGTTGTAATTGCACAGAATAATTTCCTAGTGACTCAGATTTGTGACCTTGGAGCAGAAGTGAAATAGAATTGTAAGGTTTGGAATTAGAAGAGTAAATGGGTATTGGGTCATTAAGAATAATTCTTTGTCAGTGGTAACAGAACTAAGTACCCCAAAATTTCCCAATGTAGTTTGTAGATTTTTCAGAAGCAATATTAGTAGCTCTTTAAAATAGATATTTCACCTGTCTCAGAGTTTGTTATAACAGCTATGAGACACAGTGTTACATTCTTGAGGATGTTAAATAAGTCAATTTAGGTGAAATACCTTGTTATCTATTTTGACCCCTGGTTTCTGCACAGTCCACAGCAGGAGCATCATTATTGGCTAATGCCTCACCTCTGACTCTCATGACATCACCTTTGTCTGTAACAAATCAAAATGTGACTCCTTTTGGGATGCTGGGTGGCCTTGTTCCAGTGACCATGCCCTTCCAGTTTCCCTTGGAGCTCCTTGGCTTTGGAACGGACACCGCTGGAGTGACAACCACCTCGGGATCTACCTCAGCCGCTTTCCACCACAGCCTAACTCAGAGTAAGTGGGCCTTTTTGTTTTTTACATGGCTGTCTAGTTGTGAGAAAGGGAACCACGTGAATTTATTCTGATTGACTGTTGTCCAGCTGGAGTTAAAGAAAAATAGATTTATTTTTTAAAAAATAAAATATGTTGTTTATTTCATCTATAAATCTAATTACTAGATCATAGAACTTTGCTTACAGTTTTGAAATGAATCATCTAAACTTTCTATCTTAAGTTCATAAAACGAAGACTTTTTTTTTTGTATACACATACACAATTTTTTTATTGTTTTCTACTCCAGTTTTAGAAGGCCCTTGTAACAGGACAAGTGCTGGTATTATGATAAGCAAGACTATTTTAAATTTGATCTAAGAGGATTCAGATAGTGCTTTAAGATCACTGACAAGGCTTTTTTCCTCTCAGATTTACTAAAGGGTTTACAACCAGGAGCTCAGCATGCAGCAACACTTTCCCACGCACCTCTGCCCACGCATTTACAACAGGCATTTAATGGTAAGAAAGTACCTATTTTTTTCCTTCCCTTTATGCTGTATATAGTTCCATAGATACATAGAGTAAAGATTTCTGAAAACAGGGTGAATGAAATGACAAAAGTGGAAAAAAAAATTTTTTCTTGAAAATAGTTTACCTCATTGGCAACAAACTTCTCTTTTTTGGGGGGAGGGGGGAGGGCAGGCGGTCAGTTGTAGGGCTTGAACTCTGGGCCTGGGTGCTGTCCCTCTGCTCTTCAGCTCAAGGCTAGCACTCTTACCCTTGAGCCACAGGGCCACTTCTGGTTTTCTGGTGATTAATTGGAGATAAGAGTCTCATGGACTTTCCTGCCCAGGCTGGCTTTGAACCATGATCTTCAGATCTCAGCCTCCTGAGTAGCTAGGATTACAGGCGTGAGCCACCAGTGCCCAGCCAAAGAAATGGGTGGTAAAAAGAGATCTGTTGTTACACATAAGACTTTTATATGGAAGTGATGATGAGGAATAGATTGAATGACTAGCAAGTCATATGTTGTAACAGTGATTGAAAGCTTCTTGTGACTGCTTATATGTATTGGCTAATTTAATTCTTAAAAGCCTGTGGTTGTTAGATAATGATACCCATTTTGCAGATCAGGAAACTGAATCAGAAGCAACTTGTCCCAATAATATACTAATTAAATGGTTGATCCGAGTTTCAAACCCCTATGTGTATGTATGTGTGTATATGTGTTTGTATATGTATACACATACTTGTGTACATATACAATTACATGTATCCGTGTGTATTAAGTGCTGGAGATTGAACCCAAGGCCTTGCACATAAAGAGCATATAGTCTACCACTGTGCTGTATTCCCAATCAGCCTCTGTAGTATTAACCATTAAATTTTCTATATGTTAGCATTGATTAAATAATGATTCTGATTGGATTTTCTGTGTACAGACAGCCCCACCAGCCCATGCTGAAATATGATGTTAAATAGTAGGAATTATGTATACATGACATGTCAACCTCACCTTGATGGACTGCTAATGTTATTCTCCAAGCCATCCATTTTCAGAATATGTTAGAGATAGAACTGCTTAACTACTACCTCCTGCCCCATCTTGTTTTTCTTCATCTTCGTTTTTGGTTTTGGTCAGTCATGCCATTTGAGAAGAGGAGCGCACTGTGCAGCACTCTACCTCCTGCCCCATCTTGTTTTTCTTCGTTTTCGGTTTTGGTCAGTCATGCCATTTGAGAAGAGGAGCGCACTGTGCAGCACTCTACCTTTTGAGCCGTGTCTTCACCACTCAGCGTCCCTCTTTAACTTTGGAAGTTGGCTATAGCTCCACTGTCCTTTCTGGCTAATGCATTAAAAATGGTATTTGAGATGGACATTGGTGACTCATGCTCCTCAGGAGACTGAAGTCTGAGGATCATAGTTCAAAGCCAGCTTGGGCAGGAAAGTCCATGAGACTCTTATTTACAGTTAATCACCAAAAAGCCAGTAGAGCTGTGGCTCAAGAGGAAGAGTACTAGCCTTGAGCACAAAAACTCAAGGATTATGCCCAGGTCCAAGCCCCAAGACTGGTACCAAAAATAAAAAAAAGATCTTTGGCTGAGTGCTGGTGGCTCAAGCCTGTAATCCTAGCTACTCCAGAGGCTAAGATCTGAGATCCAGATTCTAAGCCAGCCCAGGAAAGAAAGTCCGGGAAAACTCTTAGCTCTAACTAACAATCAGAAAACCAGAAACGGAGCTGTGGCTCAAAGTGATACAGCCCTAGCCTTGAGCAAAAAGAGCTCAGACCGAGTTAAAGCCGTGCCACCAACACACACCCCCACACACACAGAAAATTAATTAGTTAATTTTTAATTAATCTTTGAATCATGTTAGGACCACAGGAGAGATGGGAGTTGTATAGCAAAGCAATCTTGAGGCAATGAGTTGTCATTAATTTTCTCAAAGACTTCTGGCAAGTTGCCTTGGACCAATTCTTGAGAAAAAGAATATAAATCATAATTGGCAAAATGGGCAAGAAAAAGAAGGCATGCAGTCAGCAATCTTCATCCCAATTTGATGAGGTTTATAATCATTGTTGCTTCAGAATGACGAGAGTCCTTGCATGTGAACAGCTACTCAGAATCCTGAGTCCAGCTGAGGAACTAAGTTCACAGAGCATTTATTAATATGACCACCTGTAAGACATTAGACGAATGGGATTCTTTTTTTTTAATTATTACAAGGAAATAATAATTATTATTTCCCCCAGAGAGGGAGCACATGGTACCCTCTACTATCTAGGTAGCAGCAGGGTCTGGGGGTAGGAAGTGAGGTAGATGGGAGCTCAGGTGGGTCTAGGTGGAGAGAGGGAGGGGCCAGCTGAATGGCAGGAACTCCAGGTCTGGGAGGAGCTCCTGTCTGGGTGGAGCTGAGGTCCAAGGTGGGCATAATGCTTACATTCCCTGCTCTGTTGTTTAATAAAAATAGGGGTACCAGGCCAGGTGGTATGGGTTGTTTTCTTCTGGAGCTACTTCCTGCTGTAAAGGGGTGTGGTAGTCAGGGGTCCAAGAAGCAGCTGCTTGACAGTGATTAGTAAAGTTCATCCTTTTTCCATGACAATAGTTATCTGGGGTAGAACTTAATTAGCTAGTGTTGGATGGGCATCAGGTAGAGCACTTGGTCAGGAGCACTTGGTGGTCCTCTGGTGACAGGAGTGTAGGACCTCAGGATAGGTCCTGGGGGAGCTGGTCGGACCCCCATCCGAAGTGGGGAGGTGAGCAAATCAACCGGGGAACCTACAGGCCACAATGCAAGATCCACCACAGCCATCCCAGGGGACCACACAGAGGCAGGCAGGCACAGGAGAAAGATTATGACAAGGTTTATTAGAGGAGCCATATTTCCCCCAGAGAGGAAGCACATGGTACCCTCCACTATCTAGGTAGCACCACAAATGGGATTCTTGTGTCCTAAAAAGACCCCAGTATTCCAGCTCTGTATTTACCTTATTGTATTATTGTCTGGTCAGTACCACTGTTTCAGAATGGGAAAGGAAATGTGAAGTCAATGAAGTTAAAAATTGTTCATTTTTGTTGTTTTGTTTTTTTTTTTTTGGTTGGTCGTGGGGCCTGAACTCTGGGCTCTGGTGTAAAGACATCCAAGTTATATGAGTATTTGATCTGCTAATTAGCCAAAGTTTCTTTGAACAAATTTTTTAAAGAACTTTATCATTTTGTGAATTTTGTTTCACAGATCAAATCATTTTTCTCTGTATATGCAGATGTATAGCCTTATTATAAATGGAAAAAGCTTTAGTTGTTACCTATATTCTTTTAATACTATTGTTTATATAACTTTAAAGTGATTTTTCTAACAGCTTTTCTTCAAGAGAGGCAGTATTTTGTTTTCAATTACATTATAGTAGTCTAGTTACTGGATATGGCCTCATGTAGCCTTACGATTGCATTATTGCTCTGTAATAATTTGTCCTGTTTAGTGACATAGTAATGTGTTTACATTTCTACCATTCATGTCTTCTTCCTTGAAGCAAAGTTTTCCTTCCCTTATCTTTCTTTTAGGTCTAAGTTGACTTTGGGGCTTCATTTTCCTTGTTAAAAACCCATGGCTTACTGGAGATTTTCTCTATATTCTGCTGGCCATTGGGTTCCAACCTTGCCCAAGTACTTTTTTTCTCTCCTGTCCCAGTTTGCATAGGTATTTAGCAGAGGCTTAACTGGAGCTATATCATGCCAAAGGAAAAATAATAATAATTTTACTTATAAGAAAACAAGCTGGGTACTGGTGGCTCACGCCTGTAATCCCAGCTATTCAGGAGGCTGAGATCTGAGGATCACGGTTCAAAGCCAGCCTGGGCAGGAAAGTCCGTGAGACTCTTTTTTTTTTTTTTTTTTGGTCGATTGTGGGACCTGAACTCTGGCCCTGGGTACTGTCTCTCAACTCTTCAACTCAAGGCTAGCACTCTACCACTTGAGCCACAGTGCCGCTTCTGGCTTTTTCTGCTTATGTGGTGCTGAGAAATTGACCCCAGGGCCTCATGCATACAAGGCAAGCACTCTACCACTGAGCCACCTTCCCAGCCCCCCCCCCCCCCCCCGTGAGACTCTTATGTCCAGTTAACCACCAGAAAACTGGAAGTGGTGCTGTGGCTTAAGTGGTCGAGCGCTATCCTTGAGCTGAAGAGCTGAGGGACAGGGCCCAGGCCCAGGCCCAGAGTTCAAGCCCCATGACCGACAAAGCAAACAAAACAAAAAACAAAAAAAACAAGCCTGGTGCCGGTGGCTCATGCCTGTAATCCTAGCTACTCCGGAGGCTGAGATCTGCTGGTTGCAGTTTAAAGTCAGCCCCAGTAGGAAAATCTGTGAGACTATTATCTCCAATTGACCACTCAAAAAAACAGAGTGGCATTGTGGCTCAGAGTGGTAACGCACTAGCCTTGAGCAAAAGAGCTCAGGGACAGAACTGAGTTCAGTCAAGCCCCACAAATGACAAAAAAAAAAAAAAAATGTGTGTGTATGTATATATATATATATATATATATATACACATATATGTGTATATATGTGCGTGTGTGTGCATATATATATACACATATATATGTATACATTGGACAGGGTTGGCTCCAAGGTAAATAAATATATCCACTTGTCAAAGAGCTTTTAGAGGACTAAAAACCAGCTGAACCATAGTCATTTGCGATAGGAGGGTCATTGTTGAGCTTTTATCTCCTCCATGTTTAATCAGCTTCTGTTCTTGCTTTGTTTTTTATTTATTTTTAAAACACAAAACCATCCCAATTTTTCATGTTTTTTGCAGATGGAGGCCAAAGTAAAGCGGACACTAAGTTACCACGGAAAACTCAGTGACTTCCCAGCAAGCAGAGGGAAGTGTTCAACTGACTGATGGGATCTACCTGATGGGAAAGTCCTTATGTGGTCACAGGGCTGCTGTTTCTGTCGATGTTTACATTCTCGTCCCAAGCACTGTGGTGAGGAGGAAAAGGAAGGAAAACTACTTGAGCACGCCAGGTGCAGGAGGAAGAAATGCTTTTGTGCAAAGTTAGTGACCTTTGGTCTCTTCTAAAGAAAGACAAAGTTACCATGCTAACTGACTTGAAAGAGACTCAGCTGTCAAACCCACAGAAGTACAAATTTGATTCTACCCCACCCCCCACCCCCCACACCCTCCCGGAGGAAGGAAGTTGAGAGGATTTGGGTAAATACCATCCATCCTGGGGATTGGATCTGAATACCCTAGACATGATTGCATAATAAAAAAATCAGACCTGGAATTAGGCCAGTTGGTCAGGAGTAATGATCATGTCTGTTGAAGTAGACAGTATATAGCAAATTCACCACAAAACCAAGAATGACTCTATGTCTCATACAGCTAGTGGCTGAAGAAATAACTGTACCCTCAACTATCCTGAGCAAACTTGAATCTTCCCTGGTATGTAGCAACTCCCCATGTGAATCAGTGGTCTCAAGATGGTTCAGGAAAGTCATTTTAGACAGTGATATATATTACTAAATCATCTAGATTTTTAAGTCAAGAAATTGAGCCTACTGCTCTAAATAGACAAAAGTTGGATGTCCCCTTTTTGTGAAAGGGCAATTTCAATTTCCCCTCAGAAGCCAGGTACTTAACTCGTTTCTTCAGGTGATTGGCACGTCTAGTATTTAACTGGTCTCATTTCTAGTCTTGATGCTAAGATGTGACTGTGTTCACATTTTTTACTTTAAAAAAGGGAGTCTTTGTTACAGGGCTGCTGTTTGCTGCTCTTCACCCTTGCCAGCCTCCAGCAAGAACTGAAAACTTCCCTCTAATTCACCTCACATCACATTGCTCTTTCTTTTCTTTCAGGTAGTGGTACTTCAGGTGATATTAGCTGTTGACCTAAACAAATAGAATGTGGATGTGTCTTCATTGGCCAGCCAAATAGCATACACACACACACACACACACACACACACACACACACACACACACACACACACACACACACACACACACACACACACACGTATATATATAGATATATAGATATATATACATATATCTATATATGGGTTGTTTTTAAGAAAAAAATTTAAGCAAGTATTTTTAAAGGGAGGAATTACTATATTCGGATCATGGGTACTAATGATTATCTTTTATAGCAATCACAGTGTAATTTTACTCCCTGTATTCAGTGCCGTGAACAAACAATGGAGCATCTGGGATTGTAAAGCTTTACTAATACTTATTCAAGTAAACACACAGATAGTAGGACTCCTCCGTTACTATCGCTTCCTATTGCAAATAGCATAATCAACAAAGGAAGTTAAGGGAAAGTGGATAGTTTACTATGAATACATGTTATTCTATTTTGCCTCATCTTTCTGGTGTCACTTGAGTTTTAAACTTAAGGAATTTTCAAACTATACCTAAGAGTGGTATGTATGAACTCTAAGAAGTGTAACTTGGTCTATTTATGATGAAAGACTAACCTCAAAACACATCACTAGACCGGTCATAGCAAGATATTTTTCCTGTTTTTATTATATATTATTTTATACCATTGTTTATTCAAATAAAGAGTGTTAACCTAGGCCTTTTTTCTTTAAAAAGTGAGTCCCAAATAACTTACAGGACTATAAATAACCACAGATCTGTTCAGACCCATATTCTTATAGTTTGACCTCAGAGTCACTTTGGCTTGCTTACAGCAAAAGACTAAATAAATAACTGAAAACTTTAGTTCCAAGAACTTATTACAGCAAGGGGAAATCATTATTTCAACAGAATCATTGAGGCTGGTTCTGGTGATCTGTAATCCCAGCACTTAGAATGCTGAGGCAGGAGGATCTAGAATCCAAGGCCCGAGTTGGATTACATGGCCAAGCAGGGCTACACAGCCAAGTTCCAGACTATCCTGGGACTACACAGAAGTCTGTCTCAAAAAAAATCAAAGAGGCCCAGGCCCAGAGTTCAAGCCCCATGACCGACAAAAAAAAAAAAAAAAAAAAAAAAAAATCAAAGAGGGAGAGAAATGTAAAAAAAAAAAAAAAAATCACTGATAGAATTCCTTGACTGACTCCTCAGAATTTTATTCACCAGTAAAATAAATAATAGATTTTGTGCAAACCCCAGTAGCTATTTTGGAAGGAACTGAGATGCTACAAAGATGTTTGACTTGAATTTAGTATGTTGATTAAGAGTCATTCAATTTTTAATTGGGCAAGCTTACTCAACTCTTGATTTATTCCAATATAGGGAACCTCTTGGTTTGGCCTTTGTTAATATTACCTGGTTTGGTGATAGTAGTTTTCCTTTGAGTAGGTAGCCTTCATTTGACTTCCTCTTCCAAGAGAAGTCAGAATGCATATTAATCTCTTCCTGCTGATAACTATGTATGTGTATATACATATGTGTGTGTATACCTGTAAATCAATTGCTAGTTTAATTGCAATTTTTGTTTTTGTTTTGTTTTGAAAGCCAGTACTGAGGTTTGAACTCAGGGCCTCTTTCTTGCCTGTTTTTTTTTTTTTTTTTTTTTGCCCAAGGCTAGAACTCCTAATGCTCGAACCACATCCCCACTGCTGACTTTTTGCCTATTAATTGAAGACAAGAATCTCAGATTTCTCTGCTCAGGCTGGATTTGAACTACGATCCTCAGATCTTAGCCTCCTGAGTGGCTAGGATTACAGATTTGAGTTGCCAGCATCTGGCTTAATTGCAGTATCTTAAATCCATCATTCTGAATCGTAATATGTGAAGATCCCTGATGACCTTTTATCACTATTAGAAAAGATTCTCTCTCCCTGTGTGATTTGATTAAAATATATTCTATTGTCATCAGTCTTGATTCCTTGAGGACTGCAGTCAGGTCCCCGTTTTGGTGGTTTCCCTCCCCTTTTCACTGGTCATTTTAGTCACGACCCTCCTTTTATGTTGTACAATTGAATCAAGATCCTTATTTTTCTCTGTAGATAGGGTATGAACAGAGTTTGTACGTGTAAATACAAACATTTCTTTTCTAGATGATAATATTAAAATTGGTGTCCACACTTTTATGGCCACCAGTCTTTACAGTTTTTATTACTAAAAACCAAACATATAAGTTGGTTATTTTTTAACACAGAGACTTGTGACTCATACTGTATTTTTGCACTTGAAAGCAAATTAAGTTATTTTTTAAAATGGTGAGTAACTGAAAAGGCTATCTGTAGTATATGTCTAAAGATCATTAGCAACATCCAAATGCAAAAATATCAGCACACTTAATTATATCCCACTCAGCGGGATTCTTGATTCAGGAAGATAAAGCTGTTCGTTTCCGTCTTCTCTTGGAAGCTGCCTTCATGATATTTAAGCTGTTACTGTGCATACAGAATAATCCTCAGCATTCACAAGCAATAACGGTCATCACAGCTGTCCTCAGAGACAGCAGTGCTGGGCCTTGGAGACTGTTTGGGAGCAAAGTGTCAAGCTCAGTCAGAGCCTCCAAAATAAATGCAAGCAATAATTTCCACTCATTAACTTATGATTCTTTCTCACTGTTTCTGAGATAAGAGGGTAAAAAAATCTTTAAGACAGGTTGAAAAAGATTCTGGGAAAAGAAGTGAGGTTAAGCTAGTCATAAAATCCCAATACTTGGACGAAGTCAAGCAGAGGGGGTTAGTACCTTCTTTCATGTCCAGCACCCCTTTGATGGATGTTGTTAGCCCAAATTTTATCATTCTGTGTCATAGACACTGGGAAGGATATGACCCCACCAAGGTGAGGGGCTGAGCGGGCACATACACGTTTGATTACTGTGGGTTTGACACCTGTTTGAAAACAAGTTCGTGGAACTGGTTTTAACCCAGGATATTTTTTCCCCCCAAAGCAGATCTAAATTGTTTACGGCCTGGGGATGGAAAGGGCAGGCCCCTCTAGTCTTTCTCCTCTGGTTGCCCTCTCCCATACCCCTTTCCACCTTGTGTACTTGGTTCAAGACATTTTCTGAAATGAAAATCCTACTGTTAATTCAAACTGCCATTGATGATGGGGACTCTGTCTTGGGATCATCTCTGAACTCCAGTTTATCTATCCTATTTGCTGCTACATTTGTAAAATGAACTTTGCCTGTATTGGTTGACTTTAATCTAATGACAGATCTTTATTTCTAGGAGTTTTTGTCATATAATTTGACCCATGTATAGAATTAGGATATTTTATCTTAGGAGTGTACCATAGAAGCACACTGGTCCCTGTATTTTTATCAGTTAGGTTTTGAATTTATTTGTTATGTTTGTTGATTTTTGTTTTTCAAGTTGGAAATGGAAGAATGAGGAAAATCTATAATAATCAGGCCAAACTTGAGAACTTTCCCTGTGCTTGAGCATCGTAGTTTCTGCTGACTTAAATGTTTTCCAAGCGGGCACTTTTACTTCCTATTGTGCATGTATGAGTTTTGTTTGTTTTTTTGCTTTTGAGGTGCTTTTGGTTTTGTAAAAAATAAGCAGAAGAAAAATGCAGTAGTAGATAAGTGATTACATACATATTATGCAATTTTATTTTATAAAAATTTAAAGGAAAAGTTTAACTCTTTGTAAATAATTTCTTAGCTCTGGTAAAATACTTATATAACTCCTCTGAACCATGCTCAATTCAGGCCTATGTCTTTGTTAAGTGCCTTTTTTTTTCTCCCCCCCCACCCTCCCCTTTGAAATTGTTCTCAGACATCCTCAAGTATAGACTGATGAGTGAGGAGATTCAGGAGGAAGAATCTCAAACTTGCCAATGTTATGTCATGCTGAGATACTCTTCTTTATATGCAGATGGATATGTGTGTAAGATGCATGCATGCATATGCACGCATATGTGAGACAAATAGCTGCTGTTCCCTTGAATCCTTTTCTCAACATTTACAAGACTTCTGCCTTGTTCCAGTGCTTATAGTTGATTAAAACAGGCAGATTGGGAAGTAGTCTTCTCCCGAAATGCCATCTTCCCCCTTGGAATATTGGTAGAAGGTAACAAATATGTGTTGCTTATTCTAAATAAAATAAATTTAGTGGACTTGGTGACTGTTCCTAGATGTAACCAACTGCTCTGTGCCCTTCAAATGTGCCATAAGTAACAGAGGAGAACTAATTGGAATAACAAAAGAGAGCACCCACTTGGGTAGCAGGTGT